ATTTCTCTCTTTACTTCAACCAGAGAAAGCTTCAGGGCCAATTTTGCAACCTCTGAACCACATGAACAGGACTTCAAGGAATGAGTCCTGTTAGTCAGGTGCCCCTAGCTTCATCTTCTTCCTCTCACTTCTTTCTTTATTTATTTATTTATTTAGGTGCAGATGGACACAACACAATGCCTTTATTTTTTATGTGGTACTGAGGATCAAACCCGGGTCCCGCCCATGCTAGGCAAGTGCTCTACTGCTGAGCCACAATCCCAATCCACTCTCACTTCTTTTGGCATCTTTCATTACAGATTTTGCTACTATCTCCAGTCTTTCTTTGTAAAAGGAGAATATCCATATCTGATAGTAAATCTCATTTGTCCTTCAAAGCTACCCTATTTTACTGATATTTGTCTTCATTTATCCTATAAAACCAAAATGGAACCTCAAAGATACAGAGTGACTTAGGATCATGCAAACAGAGACCATGGTAAAGTGCTTCTGCTAGGATCCAGATCAGCAGAGTGGTGGTCTTGTCTTAGATACTGAGGAAGGAAAAGGACAACCAGAAATGAAAGAGTTGTTTTATAACCTTCTTCTATACGTGTTCAATATTCTCAGTCTGGAGCAGTGAAATATTTGAACTTGGAAATGACCTCACAGTCATTAAGTCCAACTGTTTCATTTGACAGAGGCAATGAAGCGGTATGCCCAATGCTACAAGTCAACAATGGCAGAGACAGAACCAAAATCCAGGAATCCTGGTCCTCCACTCAGTCTTCTGGCGGAAACATGTCAAAACAAATCTACATTAGGACCCTCAAGCTTTTCCTTAAATCATACATCACGTAGCGGAAGATGCCAGAAATTTTTGTTCATATATTCTTTACAGACAGCTCTTCCTGATTCTTTGGAATCAAGGGATTCTAAGGAATCAGGGGAGGCCAGACTGCTCTCCCTCCTGTAAAGACTTTTCTCTTCCTGTCCCACCCAGAGGCCACAACTATAAAAATGTGTTGTTCATTGTATTAGGTCCATTCAGATTCAGGAAAGACCCATCCCCCCATTATAGCCAGAGATGCAATTTTTTTAAAGATACATGGGAAAATAGGCAACCCAGAAATGGTCTTTCTAACCATGTGGTTACCCTGAACCTTGGGCTTCCAAGACTGGTATGCATGCAAGCTGCTTGGAAACTAGAATAATGTCTCCATTCTCACTCCAGGTTCACACTGAGCCTTGTGACTTCTCACCAAGTATACAGATTGTACCAGAGAAAGGATCAGATTAGGTCTCCTGCAAACAAACCAAGAGCACTTTAGCAGTCAGGGTTGCCTGGGCACTTAAGGTTGACTTGACTGGTTCTAACCCTGGTATAGTCACCACTGAAGTGGGGAAAGCAGGGAAGGCTTCATTCCAGACAGAGAACCCAGAGGGACAACTTTCTGCTGACAGAAATTCCCAGGACCATTTTCCTTAATTGGCTGGAGTACTGCAGGCTCTCAACACTAGCGCAGGTCTTCTCCCTGCACTAGTGGAAGTCACTGTGCTTCAGATAAAACAATTTGTGGACACACCTACCATCTTTGAAAACTGTTTTCTCCGTAGTCACCTGCCTGCTAAATTCACCAGATCCATTTTAGTGTGTTCACTTGTCTGGGCCTTTCTGTGACATTTGGCTCCTCCTGTCACTCATCAAAATGCTGCTTTGACTTACCTGGCACTGGCTGGTCTTCCCTTCTCTCTGACCTTTCTGGCTACCTCTCAGTCTCTTTCTGGCTTCCCTCCCACCTGAGGCCCCTCCTTGACCCTGTCCCTATGGCTGTAAGAGCCACAAGTGCAATTCCCAGATTGTGTACATTTCAGTTTTACCTCTTCCCTTGGATATCCCTGAGCTCTGTCCGGGATGCAGAGCAAATCACCTCCTTCTCAGGATCCCAGGGCCTTTTTCAGGTTTTTCTACTGCTTAAGGTGGATTTGCTTTGACGTGTTTCTGCCAGAAGACTGGGTGGAGAACCAGGATTCCTGGATTCTGGTTCTATCTCTGCCAGGGAGTCAGTTCCATAGGCTTTTCAACTGTCTCTCAAGTCTGATACTAATAAGTGTGTATGGATGTTGAATCAGAAAATTACCCACTCTCTCTTCTGTTCCTAAGCTTTCAATACAACAAAACAGAAAACAATTTGGAAATTACTGCTGTTGGTTCATCCTATCCCTTCTGGGGGTAGGGGAGGTCAGAAAAGAGAAAGGAAATATTAGGAAAGAAATGTCAATGAATATTTTAAATATTTAATGTATTTTAAAATATTCTCCTACTATACTCAGGTCACAATTACAAGAGAAAATTTTTGAAGAATCTGAGGTAATCACTTTCATCTCAGGCAAAGCTTGACAGGGTCATATAGACCCGCCTCTGGATTAGTTGTCCTTGGGTGAGGTGCCTACCCTGGTCCCTTCAACTGTAAGCCAGAGGTATGGAATCCCAGAAATTTGATGATTTATGCAAAAGAAACCACCTGGGAACCTATGTAAGGGGACCATGGGCCCTGTCACCCTTCCTCAGAAGTCCCCTCACGTTAGTACAAAGGACTATGTGATTCTCACCTTCTCTCACCCTTGTCCTTCCCTCTTCCAGGGCCCTGCACTCCGAAGGGAAGTTCCCTAAAGGTAAGACCTGTTCCTATTGCAGAAAGTCACTAGAAGCTATCCCTCCAGGAGATTTACCAGAGGGAAATTTGCAAATACTGTCAGCCAAATTCCTCAAGTTCCATATCCATGTATTTAACAACCATATATCAAAATTACTTGGGGTTGAAGGGATGCTGTCTGTACTGAATATAAGTGTAACAACTATTTACATAGCATTTACATTGTACTAGGTATTATAAGGTGAGATGTTTTAGAGTATACAGGGAAGATATGCATAGATTTCTTGCAAATAGTCTTGTCATTTTCTTTTCTCTCTCTCTCTTTTTTGTAGCAGGGATTGAACCCAGGAGACTTAACCACTGAGCCACATCCCCAGATATTTTTTATTTTTTACTTTGAGACAGGGTCTCGCTAAGTTGCTTAGGGCCTTGCTAAGTTGCAAAAGTTGGCTTTGAACTTGCAATCCTCCTGTCCCAGCCTCCCAAGTCACCGGGATTACAGTTGTGTGCACCATGCCCAGCTACTCTGTCATTTTCTATGAGAGACTGGAGCATCATGGTATTTGTGCGGGTCCTAGAACAAATTTCCCTGAAGTTGAGAGACGATTGTACACAGAGGCTGCTCTCAGCAGAGCAAAGGCATACTTCCTGACTCAGATCTCTCAGGTTGTATCATTGGCAAGTGCCCTGTCAGCAGATTCTGGATGTGCAGAAAGACCATGTTTGTCTCCTCACCTGTCTAGTTTTCTCATAGGGTAGGTCTTTTCCACTTCTGGTATTCTGCAATCTGTTTATCCAAACTCAAATTCTAGCTCCCATTAATTAACCAAGATGTATGTGCCTGACAGGTGCCTCATAGAGTAAACTGCTTGAAAGAGAAACTCTTCCTAGCCCACAGGAAGGTATTTGACCCCATTTGATCATTTCCACATGACACTCCTGTTTAACCTTCTGAGCCAGTTTCAGGTTTGTCCTGCCTCACAGGAGAATATGAAAGTTGAATCAATGAGGCTGGGCATGGTGTTGCACTCCTAATCCCTGACTCAGGAGGCTGAGGAAGAAGGATTGCATGTTTGAAGCCAGCCTTAGCAACTTAGTGAGGCTGTAAGCAACTTGGTAAGACCCTGACTCAAAATAAAAAATAAAAAGGTCTGGGGATGGGCTGGGGCTGTACCTCAGTGGCAGAGTGCTTTCCTAGCATGTGTAAGGCACTGGTTCCATCCTCAGCACCACATAAAAAAAAAATTAATAAACAAAGATATTGTGTGTCCATCTGCAACTAAAAAATGTTTAAAAAAAAAAAAAAAGGTCTAGGGATGTAGCTCAGTGGTTGAGTGGCCTTGGGTTCAATCCCTGGTACAAAAAAAAAAATTGAATCAATGAGACCTAAGTAGCATGTGCCCTTTCCAGATGGCTTTACTTAGCTTACCAAACTGTGAAGTCTTTGGAACATGACTATAATTCATTTTATTTTCATATCAATCCTACGAGAAGGGCAGGTCCCACACTGGCTATACAGAGCCAATGCAGCCAGGTGCAGTGCACACCTATAATTCCAGCCACCTAGGAGGCTGAGGCAAGAGGATCACAAGTTCAAGGCCAGCCTCAGCAACTTAGATCCTGTCTCAAAATAAAATAAAAAGAGCTGGCATGGAACTCAGTGAAAGAACATCCTTGTGTTCAGTTCCCAGTACCCTCCCCACACACACACACAAAAGCCAGATTCAGGGCTGGGGCTGTAGCTCAGTAGCAGAGCACCTGCCTTGCACACATGAGGCACTGGGTTCCATCCTCAACACCACATATAAATAAATAAATAAATAACTACAGCTCAAAAAAAATAAAAAAATAAAAAAAAAAAAGCCAGATTCAGTGGCATCTTAGTCCCAGCTAATTGGGAGCCTAAGGCTGGAAGACACTTGAGACCAGAAGATCAAAAGCAGGCTGGGAAGGGAAGGGGAGAGGGAGGAAGATTGAGATTCAGAGCAGTTAAGGGGCTTTCCCAAGTTCTTGAGCCGTTAGTTTTGGATCAGTTCTTGAGCAACAGAGCTAGAAATATGTCTCTAGCTCCCCAGTATAGAAATTCCTGTTTCCCTCGGCCTTGAGGTAGCCAGATCCCGATCTCTAGCTGCCTATCTCTTCTCAATAAGACACAGAGTGAGGTAGAGGGTAGCCAGCCAGGTCTCCTGTGGCCCTTTCACTTTTCCTCTCTGAGGAATAATGGGCAAAGAGCAGCTTTGGTGCTGTGAAGACACCTGGAAACTCCAGCCCTGCCCTAAGCCATAGAGGTGGTGGGAGTTTTCGGGGGAAAATCTGACTGGGAGCAACAAGGCTCTTTACTTTTCCCCATCCCCTCCCCATCAGGTTGTTCTGTGCTCACACTTCAGTCTGTGAATGTGCTGCGCAAGTATCTCTTCCTCCTGGACCTGCTCTGGTCTCTGCTGCATACTCAGGACATCCTCTTCGTGCTCACCAGCGAAGAAGTGGCACAGGCAAAGGTGAGGATTGCAAATTCCTGGACACCTTAGATCTGGGCCAGGCCTCTTGGCTTCTCAAAATTCTGCTCTGCAGAGGCAATTCCCATAGTCCTTTCACAGYGGCTTAGCATCTCCCCCTGAGTTTTACTACTAAGCCAGTTAGACCTTGGCAGGCAGAAATTTTCAATGACTTTGAACTTTTTTCCTGATTACAATAAAACAACAAAGAACCTAAAATACATATACTCCTTGTAGAGAATTAAGAAAATAAAAGTAAGAAATAAAAATTATCCACAGTCCCACCACTCAAAAGTAATCATCATTAACATGTTGGGATACATGCTACTATTATATAATGGGATCACACTTTGTTTACTGTTTAAAATCTGCTTTCTTTAACAAAATATTATGAATATTTTCTCCTATGTCACTAAGTGTTCCAACTGTAATGTCTACCTATAATTCATTTGTATGGATATACCATAAATATGTCATGAATTCCTGATCATTAGACATTTCAGATGTTCCAGTTTTCCAGTGCTCCTAGCTTGAGTCTAAAAGGAATTCAGACCTGCCAGGATCCTCTGAAAGAGCCAGTGGGGCAGACAACCAAAAGCCCATTTGCCAACTGAGGAAGAGCCAGACCCACCCATGCCCTCCTAGTGAAAGTTTAGCTGTCAGTAGGGCAGGTGATTGTCAGAATCATTAGAGATGAGGAGATGAGATGAGCTCCAATTTGTCTCCAGGTGCAATCTGTAGAAGACTTAAGTCCACCTCAGAGACACAGGTAGCCTTATTTTCTCAATTTTCCACAATAAGCATTTATTCCTACTAAAAGGCACTTTGCTGGATGCTTAGAATGTATATTGAGCAGAAATATTAATCCTCTCTTGTTGCTTTAATAGTTCATTAATTTTTTTCGTTATTATTTCTGTCCTACTCTATTCATGTTTTATTCTGGGTTTTTTTTTTTTTTTTTTTGAAAGGTTAGGCTTCTTTTTATTTTCAATCTTTAAAAAAAACTATACTTTAGGGCTGGGGATATAGCTCAGTAGTAGAGTGCTTGCCTCACCACGTGAGGCCCTGGGTTCCACCCTCAGCACCACATAAAAACAAATAAATAAAAATATTGTGTCCATCTACAACTAAAAAAAAATTTTAAAAAAAACCATACATTAATACTATTAATTTCCTTTAATGTAATCCTTTAAGTTTCCATTGTGAGTTTCTTTTCAATCCATGAGGTTTCAGGGATGTATGTTAGAGTTTGCAGATGTGTTTTTCAATCTTTATTATTTGCAGTTCCATTTTTGCCTACTTACAAAAATTTATCTGAAACTCCAAAATCAATTCTAGTGTGATCTCAAATAATACAAGCATATAGCCCAACATGTTAACAATGATTACTTCTACTACAATTCTTATTTCTTATTTTTTGCTTTTGTGAGCACTGACATAGTCCTTTAAAAAGCAGTGAAAATTTTGAGCCACACATGCATGTTTCCAGGAAGATTGAGGCAAAACTACCTTGTTTCAGTCTCATACTACAGAAAAAGTATCCTTTTAGTGATGTATTTAATGCCACATTTTCTTATTTTATGATTTTTGTTGATTTTACTGTTTAAAATAACTGAAGTAGCCAGGCGCAGTGGTGCACATTCAGGAGGATCACAACTTCCAAGGCCAGCTGGGCAACTTAGCAAAACCTTATCTCTAAGGGCTGGGGATGTAGCTTAGTTTTTTTGTTGTTGTTTTTTTAAAGTCTGAAATACAAGGCTGAAGCTGTCCAGTGTCCTTAAACAAAATTGGCTATGATAGGCCTTATGGAAAAAACAGATATATTAGATAAGCTTCATCACAAACATGAGTTCTAGTGCAATTGGCACTAGTTCAGTGTAAATCAATCAGCAAAGTATATATTAAATAATTTCTCTTTAAACAGGAACACACATAAAACAATGTTATATATTGATGTGTTAATGAAAATGTGACCAGAGGCTCACAGGAATGAGCAGTAGTCCAGTATTCACTAATTCAGTGTTCTAGTGACTTTATAGAATGGCCTCAAATAATGAGAATATTGCTTTGTTGTTGATTTTTTAATGTAACTGTTTTGTGATCAATGAGTTTTGTGATCAATTATTTTATGCTTTTATCAAAGCATAAAATAAGAAAATGTGGCATTAAATACATCACTAGAAGGATAATTTTTTTGTAGTGTGAAACCTGAAACAAAGGTAGTTTTGCCTCAATCTCCCTGACTCACAGCTTCAAGTTTGGGTCCCCAGTCTAGCAGAACCCACAATGCCCCCAATCTTCCTGGGCCTTCAGTCAGTGAGCCCTCCACTTCAACCACTCATACTTGTTTATATTTTGTAGGTTCATGATACTGTTGGTTTTAGTTTTGACCCATCTGCATCTTTTTTTAATCCTATTTATATTTTTCTACCATGACTACAATATGGAACAGGAAGCATAAATTTGTCGCATCTTGACCAAGTAAGAACAGCCAAAGTATTTTGAGAATAAGAAAATTAAAAAGCCAGGCACAGTGTCACATGCCTGTAATTCTAGCAACCTGAAGACCAAGGGCAGAAGGATCGCAAATTCGAGGTCAACCTTAAGAATTTACTGAGACCCTGTATCAAAATTAAAAAACAAAAAAGGGGGGGGGCTGGGGATGTGGCTCAAGTGGTAACGCGGTAGTGCGCTCCCCTGGCATGGGTGCGGCCCGGGTTCTATCCTCAGCACCACATACAAACAATGATATTGTCTCTGCCGAAAATGTAAAYAAAATATTTAAAAAAAAAAGGGTTGGGGGTTTAGCTCAGAGGTAGAACACCCTGACTTCAATCCCCAGTGAAGGAAAGAAAAAGAGAGGGAAGGAGAAAGAAAGAAAAGGGAGAAGGGGGAAGAGAGGGAGAAAAGAAGGGGAGGAGTGGAAAAGAAAGAACAAGTAACTTATTTGAACTTATTTGCTAGCAAAGTGGAAAAGATCATTACTGAAGCTTTAAATGAAATGGGTTTATAAATTGTTACAGCCTTTCAAGGAAACAAAAGTAATGAATGTCAGAAGGGGTTTCAGAAATTGTTCTTACCTTTGCATGTTTTTGATACATTAAGCAAAAACCAACAGGTTACAGAGCAGATTTATAGAGTATCTAGGTGTTGGAATTTAATGTGAATTTTATCTTTTTCTTTTAAAATATAACTAATTATACTATTTATAGAAACTCTCATCCAATAATTTATACTTTTACAATTTTATCCTAAGGAAATAAACAAAGATGTGTCCAGGAACTTATATGCAATGTTATCATTAGTATAATTTTTAAAAACTTTTTTTTAGTTGTACATGGACACAGTACCTTTATTTTATTTATTCATTTTTATGTGGTGCTGAGGATCGAACCCAGTACCTCACATGTGCTAGGCAAGCACTCTACCACTGAGCTATAACCACAGCTTTCATTAGTATAATTTTTAAATATTTATTTTTTTAGTTGTAGTTAGACACGATACCTTTATTTTATTTATTTATATGTGGTGCTGAGGATCGAACCCAAGGCCTTGTACATGCTAGGCGAGCACTCTACCGCTGAACCACAACCCCAGCTCCTCATAGTATAATTTAGAGTAGCTAAAATAGAAACAATATTCAGCAGGTGAATGAAATAGTAAGCCAGCCTTATTTTGAAGAATATTTAGTGAAAATGCTCCGAAAGCAGAAAGACAAAACTTTATGCCCGATTTTGATTTTTATGGGGCTATTCCTTCTAACTTTTGAGCAAAAACAATAATTTAAAAAATACACTTGGTAGCTGGGCATGGTGGTGCATGCCTGTAATCCCAGCAGCTCAGGAGGCTGAGGCAAGAAGATCATGAGTTCAAAGCCAGGCACTAAGCAACTCAGTAAGACCCTGTCTCTAAATAAAATACAAAATAGGGCTTAGGATGTGGCTCAGTGGTCAGGGACCCCTGAGTTCAATTCCCAGTGCCCAAAAAAAGAAAAAGAAAAAATACAGTTGTTAAAAAACAATGAATAATTTATTATTATTATTTTTTTTTTTTTTTTTAGTGGTCAATGGACTTTTACTTTATATGTGGTGCTAAAGAGTGAACCCAGGGCCTCACACATGCCAGGCAAGTGCTCTATCACTGAGCCACAACCCCAGCCCCAACAATGAATAATTTTTGTAAGTGCCCATCTTATTGAAGGAATGTTAAAAGTCATTGAAAGATTTAAGCACTATACTGTGGGAAACCCTTTTAACTTAGAATCTGTTCCAAGCTGACAGATCAAGTATGGTTTGGACTACAAAGGTCATCTGGTCATCCTTTCTCCCAGTGTTTTTTTTTTTTTTTTTTTTTTTTTAAGAGAGATTTTTTTTTTAATATTTTTATTTTTCAGTTTTCGGTAGACACAACATCCCTATTTTATTTTATGAGGATCGAACCCAGCACCCTGCACATGCCAGGCGAGCACGTTACCACCTGAGCCACATCCCCAGCCCTCTCCCAGTGTTTTTGTAAACATTTTGATTCTCGGCACCACATGTAAATAAAATAAAGGTTCATTGACAACTAAAAATATATTTTTTAAATAAATAAATAAGCATTTTATTTTTATTATGGTTTTCAAAATGTTAACATTATTCTCTTGAGTTCATGTGTCCTTTTTGTTTTCTTTTTTTAATTTTTTTTTTTTTTTAGTTTTTTTAGGTGGACACAATATCTTTATTTTACATTTATGTGGTGCTGAGAATTGAACCCAGTGCCTCACGCATGCTAGGCGAGTGTACTACCACTTGAGCCACATCCCCAGCACCTCCTTTTTGTTTTCTGATAGTAAATTTCACTTATAATTTTCATTGTGTTTGCTGTGGAAAAAATACTATGTAACATTTTGCCTAGATTGTATAGTGAGATAGTTCTATTCCGATTCCCTTTACCATCCAAATCATGATTATCACAAGTATGTTTACAGCTCTAAAACCACATATATTCTGACAATAAATATTTACATTTACATTAAGGATTACATAAAGGTTTGCAATAATATTAACTTAGTTAAGTTATGGTACTTAGAGAACAATAGCAATTTTTTATATATATGTCCTACATAGTTAAACCAGTTACCATGATCTGTTTAAAAATGGAACTGTACCAGGTCCAAATAACAAGAAAATATACATTTCCTCTGTTAGGTGGGAAGACTAACCCATACCTGTGTACCTCCTTTTTTTTTTTTCCCAATAGTGATTATGTCTTCCAGTTTACCTAATTCAGAGAAGTCTGGGCATAGCATTCTAGCCTGCTTCCCCTCGGACACCTTTGTCTGTGTTGTATAGGTAAGGTAGCAGAGCAAAATGAGGCTCTAGAGTCCATCAGATGGCTCTGGGTTTGAATCTCAGCTCTGCTACCTACTAGCTATTTGAGATTAATGAGTGTCCTCATCTACTTACTGGGGGGGAAAAAGCAATAATAATAGTACATACTATTATTAGAATAACACGGTTATTCACATTGAAATGATGATTGTAGACTGTTGTGCCAATAGTAAATGCTTTAGCTACCCTTAGCATCATCTGCTTTAATCACAATGAAGTAAGTAGGAGATGAGAAGGGAAGGTCAATCCAGAGAGGTTCATGGGCTATAGAACGAAACCAAATAATGCTATAGCACAAAGTATATTAGTGGGAGGAGGGATTTCAGATGAGGAAACAACTCTGAAAGTAATAGAAATAGCTCCAGATCAAATGTACCTAACTGGTCCCCTTTGATTCTTCTAGAGAGCCATGTACTGCCATGGAAGCCAACTCCTCTGGTTCCGCCGCCTCTATATTCTCTTCTCCAGGTACATGAGAATCAACTCACTGCACTTCCTCTGAGGCTTTGAAGAGTTTTCAGATCTAAGGAACAAAGGAGAAAAGTAGACCAGGAAGACAAGGGGCCTGCCTGGAGATGGCTTATCTTCCTGAGTCAAAGGAGTTCCCAGCTAAGTGCCTCTGCAAAGGGAGACCCTGTTGGCCAATGGGCTACCCAAACTCTGGCTTCTTCCTCTGGTGAGGGGGGCAGGGTGGAATGAAGAACTGAAAACAAACCAACCCAAGGATAATTCAAATAATTTGAATAATGACAAAGCGTATGTCAAACACCTAGCACAGAGCCCAGACAAATTGCTGTTATCACAAATGAATGCAGAATGTACTAAAAACACAGGTAGGATCTTTAATTGCTTCTGAAGTAGGCTGTCTTAGTTTTGGGTTGGTATAACTGAATACCACAGATTGAGTAATTTATAAAGAACTGAGGTTTATTTAACTCTTGATTCTGGAAGCTGGGAGCAAGACATAGGCTTCTGCTTGACATTTAATGAAGAGCTTCCTACATCATAATAAGGCAGCGGGCATCACATGGCAAGATAGAGCAAGTGAGCCAAAGTGCTTATTTCTATAACAAAGCTACTCCCATGATAATTCATTAATCTGTAAATGACCCAGTCCTCTCCCAAAGATCCTACCTCTTAACACTGATGCATTGGGGACCATATGTCCAACACATGGATGCCAGGAGACATGTCCAAATCATAGATTTACTGAAAATACATGAGCCAGGTGCAGTGATGCACACCTATAATCCCAGCAATTTGGGAGGCTGAGGCAGGAGGATCCCAAGTTCAAGGTCAGCCTCAGCAACTTAACAAGACTCTATCTCAAAAATATAAAATAAAAAAGAACTGAGGATGTAGCTCAGTAGTAAAGTACCCCTGGGTTCAATTCCCACTACCAAAAAAGAATAGCATGTGGGCTGGGGATGTGGCTCAAGTGGTAGCGCGCTCGCCTGGCACGCGTGCGGCCAGGGTTCGATCCTCAGCACCACATACAAACAAAGATGTTGTGTCTGCCGAAAACTAAAAAAATAAAATAAAATATTAAAAAATTTAAAAAAAGAATAGCATGCGTGAGCGCGCGTGCGCGCGCGCGCGCACACACACACACACACACACACACACACACACACACACACACAAATATTACAGTCTGTTGAATTAGTTCAACCATAATTCCCTAAATTTTTTCTGGCTGATTTACCTTTTTATCGGAGCTGGAGAAATCATCCTCTATTTAACATGACAATCATGGATTGATGCACCCAAGTGTCCTTCACAGTGATGGGCTCTGTTGTATGCAGAACAGACTGCCTGAGCCTGACTCTCAAACAGCTTATAACTGAATATCTCAGCTTAGTCTTGGGAGAAGTAGGAAGTAGGAAGATAAATCTGGAACTTTAAAAAAAAAAAACACTTAAGAACCTGATGTCTTTAAATGGTTCAACAAAATAAAACTATCTGAGAGGATTGGCTTGTAAGCTATAGGCAAAGTCCAACTCATGGTCCAGAAAAGTGGCTTGAGACAGGGAAGCTTAGTTGTGAAGAGAGAGACAAGTGACTCTAGGTTTGAAGCCAGAAGACAAGCAACATACCTATGACAAGACACGAGATTCTCTATCTCAATTCTCTCATCTGCAAAATGGGGAAGAATAATGGTTTAACTTCAGAGAACGGAACAAAAGGATGTCTTAGGGTACATAACAAAGAATCTAGCTCTCGGTGCCAGCAAAGATTAGCTGCTGTTTTTCTGAGAAATAATCAAGTAGGCATTAAGCATAAGGACTAACATACATAAAAGTCCTGAGACAAAAGATCCTGGTGTGCTTTGCCTGCCCAGTGAGTATCCCCTACCTGCAACATAAAACCGGGGAATTGCTTCCTTCATAGCAACAGGTTGGAGATCTGCTTGTTTAGACTCTGCACCCAACTTGTACCACTTTACTCAATGTCACCATTATTTTATATGCCTCCTAAGACCACATGAGACTGACAGAACTATTAGGCCCTGAAGCTGAAATTGAAAAAGCAAATCTGGTTGTGTGATTTGTCCACTGAAAATTTGTCAATATCTCCTAAAATCTTCCACATAAAAGTATGACCAGAGCAAGCTACTAACATTGGCTGGAATGTGGTGGCAGTGGGTGACCTCTGTCTTGCTACTAGGAAGACAAACACTAAACTAGTTTTTCCTTTCTGATCCAAGGAAATACTTAGAAAGTGAAAATGACATACACAAAGATCATCATACTATTATTTACAATAGCAGTACTGGAAAAATCCAGTGATGTAATAGTTTTATAACAAAGAAAATGTTCATAATATATTAAAAATTTTAAAGCAAGTTAGGAATCTCATTTTTATTAAATGAATATACAAATATATAACATGCAAATATATACGTAGATATATATTTGATATCTAAATCCATAGGTAAATACTAACTAGGAAGGTCATCTTTCAACAGTGGACATTTACAGTTATAAAAGATTTATGGTTGTTTATGAATAAGTATTGTTTTGTTTTGGAAGATCCCCAGCCCTTGTTATTTTGTATTTTGAGAAAGGGTATCCCTAAATTGCTGGAGGCTAGCCTCAAACTGCTTCAGTCTTCCAAGTTGCTTGGATTACAGGTGTGTGCCACCGCACCTTCTATGAATAGGGTTTTTGGGGGAGGTGTGGAGCATACCAGGGAATGAACCCAGTGGTACTTAACTAGTGAGCCACATCCACAGCCCCCCTTTTTTTTTCTTTAGAGACAGGGGTCTTACTGAGTGATTTAAGACCTCGATAAGTTCCTGAAGCTGATTTGAATTAACAATCCTTCTGCCTTAGACTCCCAAGCCGCTGGGATTATAGGCATGTGCCACCACACCCAGCCCTATGAATAGTTTTGATGTGAGAAATACTTTTTTAAAAATATCTTTATATATTTTTTTTAATATTTATTTATTTTTTTTTTTGGTTTTCGGCGGACACAACATCTTTGTTTGTATGTGGTGCTAAGGATCGAACCCGGGCTGCACGCATGCCTGGCGAACGCGCTACCGCTTGAGCCACATCCCCAGCCCCATTTGTATTTATTTTTATGTGGTGCTGAGGATCAAATCCAGGGCTTCACACATGCTAGGTGAGTGCTCTACAGCTGAGCCACAACCCCAGCCCCAAGAGAAATACTTTTGATACAATGTGACGCCAAAATAATTTGTATAGCCAGTATAATGTCACACATAAAAAATCCGATTAATTGAAGAAAAGCTAGCTGGGTTTTTTTTTGTTTTGGGGGGGGTTTTTTATAATTTTTTTTTAATATTTATTTTTTAGTTTTCTGCAGACACAACATCTTTGTTTGTATGTGGTGCTGAGGATCGAACCCGGGCCGCACGCATGCCAGGCGAGCGCGCTACCGCTTGAGCCACATCCCCAGCCCAAGCTAGCTGTTTTTACATTGCTGGTGGACGTATAAAATTATGGAGGACAATTTGGTAATTTCTAGAAAAATTATATACACTTTTTTTAAAAAATATTTTTAGTTGTAGATAGACACAGTATCTTTATTTTTATGTGGTGCTGAAGCTCGAATCCAGTGCTAGGCAAGCACTCTACCACTAAGCCACAAACCCAGCCCCAAAATTGCATACGCTTTGATCCAGCATTACCATATCCATGAACTTATACTATAGATTTACTCCACATGACTAAAGAGGTATGTCAAAAAAGACATTGAAACGCTACTTCTTTTTTTTTTATATTTTTTTTAATTGTAGATGAACACAATATCTTTATTTTAGGGGCAGAGGATTGAACGCAGTGCCTCACACATGCTAGGCAAATGCTCTACCACTGACCTACAACCCCAGCCCAAAAACACTATTTATTTCTCTTTTTTTTAATTTATTTTTTAGTTTTAGGTGGACATAATATCTTTATTTGGTTTTTATGTGGTGCTGAGAATCGAACCCAGTGCCTCTCGCATGCTAGGCAAGCGCACTACCACTTGAGCCACATCCCCAGCCCCAAAACACTATTTCTAATAGTAAAATATTGAACTGGTTCAGAGGTCTCTCAGTTAAGGGTTCATTAAATAAACTTCGGACACACCAATAGAATAGATTATGAGTTGGCATGCTAGCAGACTCCCAAATCACAGCAGCTCAGGAAGCTGAGGCAGGAGGATCACAAGTTCAAAGCCAGCCTCAGCAACTCAGCGAGGCTCTCAGCAGCTTAGTGAGACTGTCTCAAAATAAAATAGAGGGGGTGCTGGGGATGTGGATCAGTAGTTGAGCATCCAAAGTTCAATTCCCTAGTACTTAAAAAAGAGATTATGACAAAACTATTTTTTAAATAAATAAAATACAAAATAGGTCTGGGGATGTGGCTCAGTAACCAACTAACCCTAACCCTAACCCTAACCCCAACCCCTGAGTTCAATCCCCAGTACCAAAAACAACAACAACAAAAGATAAAAAAGAACAGAGCCAACAGCCACTGGAGAAATTAGGAAGGCAATTGTGATAGATTTACCAATTATAAGATGTTCCTAGCCCAGATGGTTTTACTACTGTTTAAAGCATAAAATAGACAATTCCTCCAATTCATAGATAAAACATGAATTACCACAAAAAAAAGAAAACTGACAATTTTATTGTGAATATGGATGCAAAAATATAAAAGATTAGCAAATTGAATCCAACAATGCAACAAAAGAATCACTACTGTACAATCAAGTAGGGTATTATTCCAGGAATGCAAGAATGGTTCTACTTAGGGAAATCCATTAAAGTAATTCATTATATCAGCAAGTTAAAAAGAAAAACTACATTCGTTTACTTAATAGATGCTGAAAGATGACAAGATGAAGCCATTATTCCTGATAACAACTCCTAAGAAAAATAGGAGGAAAATATATATATATAAATAATGAAGACCCTACCAAAATCCAACGGATTAAAACTAACTCAAGGTAGAATTTTCACTTTTATGTCTATTTATCCATTCTTTTCTCAATAACTATACTTTTTTTTCTCTTTTCCTTAATTAGAGTTTCCATGTGTTGGCTTATTTCATTTTTCAAAGAAAAATATCCATATGTTTTGAAGGATCAAGCTGATAAAGGGACACAGAAAAATAAAAAACTGGTATAAGTATTAGAAAAGACAACTGTGGGGGCTGGGGATACAGCTCAGTTGGTAGAGTACTTGCCTTACATGCACAAGGCCCTAGCTTCAATCCCCAGCACCACACACACACACACACACCAAAAAAAAAAAAAGGCAACTGTGTTAGAAATGCAAGAAACACTAATAAAGTCTATAATAAATGAGAGAATTTTAGATTTCTTATATTGGCTATTACTTGACAGAAATGAAAATGGAATGTCAAGAACTTAAATCAAGAAATAACTTCAGCATAAAAATACAAGGTTGGTTGGTTAGTTTGTTTGTTTATTGTGGTCCTGAGGATCCAACCCAAGGCCTCACATATGCTAGGCTGAGCTACACCCTTAGCCTAAGGAAGATTTATATAAATTTTACAATTACTATTAAAATTTCAGTCATTTTTTAACAAAAATTTACAAGCTGATTCTAAAGTTTATATGGAATTCCAAGAGAATCAGAAGCCTAAACAATCTGGAAAAAGAAATTTCTCTAAAGACTCACACTTTCCAATTTGAAAAATTACTACAAAGGCCTAAGTGTAAGAATTAAAACTGTACAACTCTTTTATTTTTTATTAAAGAGAGAGAGAGAGAGAGAGAATTTTTAATATTTATTTTTTTCAGTTTTTCGGCGGA